CAACTCATTGACACCACATTCTGTATACTTCCGTCGGAAGCTCTCACTTCACGGGGAAGTACTATCATCTCTCGCTTACGACGACTCTTTGATCCCCGACTTTCAGGCATTTTCTTAGAAATTATATAAGAAACCAATTTTTAAAATCACTTTTATTACATTTTTCACTTACAAATATTCTAACAAATACCTAGAAATATCCTAAACATTAATTTCAACATTAAATGTAAAAGTAAATTTTACTTTAGTATTATAATACGCTATATTGGCTTCACTAATTATAGCATATTAACAGTAGACAATTCAATTATTCTGTTTCTATTGAGTTTGAGGACATGACTTTATGAACACTCTATTTCAATCAATTAAAATCATTTTGGGTTGTCTTAAACAATTTTAAATATTAGCAAGCAAATTTTATTCAGCGTATTACCTGTTATCAATCTTTAACCAAGGAAAACTTTTTAATTAATATTTTGAAGAGCTTTAAAAATTAGCTATAATTTGAATCAGATTTAACTTAAATTATACTAAAAATGTAAAATTTAGTGTTTTATGCCTCAAATGACTACAGAGTCTAATTTGTTTCCATGCAAAAGTTGCTGTAATTTAGCCTTCATTCAATATAATGTATCGCAAAGATTGTAATATTTTGGTTAAAGAATATAATTTAAATAAAATGTAAATTAAATATATAACTAATTATTAAATTAAACATAAATCAAATTATAAAGCAATAAATAACGAATGTTATGATTAAGCACTTACTGGCACATTATCGACCACTGAATTGTATTCAGAGTTAATCTATTAGATTATTAATTAATAAATTAGCACAACATGTCATTCACTAATCAATTAATAGTTTTAATTAATTGAATAAAATATATTNTTAATTAATAAATTAGCACAACATGTCATTCACTAATCAATTAATAGTTTTAATTAATTGAATAAAATATATTAAAAATTTAAAAATATTTACATCGAAGTCAAGTGGGTTGACCTGATTGGGTCCCATCAAACAGTAACCTTTGCCTCCCTGTCCGGTCACTTGAGGCACTCCAGTTAAGTAGAGGAGCCTATAATAGTAATTACAACAATTAGATGTTGTCAACAAATATAGTAAAACAACAATGTTTGCCAACCATTTTCCGTGTTCCCGTCCGTTCTCCACCTGATAGGGCCACGAGATGTTCACATCAATGCGGGACGCCTTCCACGGCCCGGCATTTCTGATTATATACTTATGGAAAACTCTACTTCCGATCTCATCTTCAAATTTCTATCAAACATTACAACAAAAAATGTTACAAAAAACTTATTACAAACGTGAGGAACGGTTGCTTACAATCGCTGCCTCGCCTTTGATTTCGCCCCCATATCTCACGGCCTGCTCTTCGGAATTACCGCTTAATTCTAATTCTGCGTTACGAATGACTTCTGCGGTAAGAGTCACCAAATCGTCATTAACTGATTTGTCAGCACTTGTTCTGCAGAAATAATATTTATAATTAGATTACATAATGACATAACAAACAGATTGAGTGATTACGTGGTCGACTGAATCTGTAGCTGAAGACTAGTTTCGGCGTCTGAAAGACCGGTCGGATTGAATCTGAGCTGAAATTCCAATTTTCCCGGATTGAAAGGATTGCCTAAATCACACTTCAATGTCGTCCGATTGCTTGGACTGCAATCCAATTGATCGCCTTTCTGTCAATACATTTCATTCTTAATATACAATTAAAACTAAAAAATTTAAATTAAATTTACTGTAATTTTACGGCCGACATAACTAAGGCTTGACGGGTGTGTTATGAAAACACTGGCGTCATATGCGGGCTCTCCTTTATTTATGACCCGAATTATTAGATTAATCATTTCTTTTCTAATTACCTACAAAAATGTTAAGCGATTTTGGATTAGAATTTGTTTATATTTTCACTCCTTTTCTATGCTATATATAAACACATCAATAGAGCAGCGATTCCTTAATATTTAAAAATTGGCGGAATCTAAATTATTAATTCTTATATTAATTAAATAATTGCTATAACAAGTGTGACAATTGTGATTGGATTGATATATAGGATGGAAATCACGACCTAGCGATCGGAGCGCCCTATGAAGACAATGGTGTTGTATATATTCATTTGGGAACTGCTTCTGGAGTTAAAGAAACTCCATCTCAGATAATAAGAGCTTCAGATTTGCCAAATGAAATTCAAAATATTAAAACATTTGGCTATTCTTTATCGGGTTTGTATTCAATTTATTGGTTTACAATTTCATATATAAATGAACATTTAATTTAATATTCTATAAGATGGGGGCATACCAGTTATGGCACAACAATATTTGTTAATTTATAATTATGAATTGCTTTTATGGAATGGTAGTTAGGCCTTTTCATTTCCATGCAATCTTGTTTATTTAATTGCTTGAAATCTAGATCTCATTTATTAGCAGAACTTTTGCTTAATATTCAGAATATAATTAGAAACGAATTCATTGTTTTTATTTTAAAGATTTATTGTTTTTACTGCCTATAAATAGAGTTAGAAAAGTTTTAGTGGTATTTGTAGTTATAATCAGTTAAATGTAAGATTAAATTTTTGGAAAATTCAATAACAGTAAACATCATTCCATATGTTCTTATAATAAGAATCTTATTGTTGTAATGACTTATTTTTGCTAATTATAAGTTTTTGCAAATAATTTAACGTTAAAAACCAACGACAAGACTATTGGAAATTATTTAACATTAAAACAGTTATAATTGTTTTGTTGATAAAGACAATATTGGTTATAATTTCTAAATGCGTAAATCACACACATTGTAGGTACACATGATATGGACCAAAACGGTTATCCGGATCTATTGGTTGGCGCCTATGAGAGCGATGCCGTACGTCTCACACATTTAATAATGGATAATAAAAGCATAAAACTAACCATTTTTATCATTTTTAATTTTAAAGACACTGCTCTTTAGAGCTCGACCTATAATAGACATTCAAACTTCAGTTTCGGGAGAATTAAGTCAAATCGATCCGAACAAAGAGGGCTGTAAAGACGATCCCAATTCAAAATTAGTGTGTTTTTCATTCAACGCCTGTTTTAAATTCAATACAACTTTGAGATCTACGGTCTCTAATATTCTTCGACTTCACTATCGTATTGAAGCCGAAACATACACTGGTATTCACATTACGGCCAACAATATTATGTGTTTCTAATAAATATTCTCATAATTAGGTAAAAAGTATTATAGAGTAAAATTTGGTTCGACCGCAGATTCAGACAATCCTAATATCGTTGAACGAGATATTTCTATAAGAGGTAATAATTAGTTGAAATGGAGTTGAAGTACACAATGAATATAATGTGAATTGATGTGTGTTCACAGGGAATGATCTTCACAGTGAGCACTGTTCCAAAGAAATTGTTTATCTCAAAGACAAGTCGGATATACAGAATGCAGTGATGTTTGAGTTGACGTATTCACTCATTCAGAAAGAGCCACGAATGCCAACAGACGGCGAAACTCTTCCCGATATAAACAAACTGCCGATTCTTAACCAGGAAGAGGCGCACCGCGTATTTGAGGCTCGATTTCTTAAAGAATGCGGTATTTTCTTCAAACTTATTGTTATTCCTTTATTTAAATTATTTATTGTTATTAATTTGTTGATTGAGTTTAGGATCGGACGAGATCTGCGAAAGTGATTTGAGAGTAGAGGCAGAACTGACCACTAAAAGAACGGACACTAATAAATATATTTTACATCTCGGTAATACTGATTATAATGTTGTTTTTACGATTAAATTAATAATTGTTTTGGAAATGTTAGGCGAAGAGCACTTGAGTCTAATAATTCGGGTCATAAATAAAGGAGAGCCCGCATATGACGCCAGTGTTTTCATAACACACCCGTCAAGCCTTAGTTATGTCGGCCGTAAAATTACAGTAAATTTAATTTAAATTTTTTAGTTTAAATTGTATATTAAGAATGAATTGTATTAACAGAAAGGCGATCAATTGGATTGCAGTCCAAGCAATCGGACGACATTGAAGTGTGATTTAGGCAATCCTTTCAATCCGGGAAAATTGGAATTTCAGCTCAGATTTAATCCGACCGGTCTTTCAGACGCCGAAACTAGTCTTCAGCTACAGATTCAGTCGACCACGTAATCACTCAATCTGTTTGTTATATCATTATGTAATCTCATTATAAATATTATTTCTGCAGAACAAGTGCTGACAAATCAGTTAACGACGATTTGGTGACTCTAACCGCAGAAGTAATTCGTAACGCAGAATTAGAATTAAGCGGTAATTCCGAAGAGCAGGCCGTGAGATATGGGGGCGAAATCAAAGGCGAGGCAGCGATTGTAAGCATCCGTTCGTCGCGTTTGTATTAAGTTTTTTGTAACATATTTTGTTGTAATATTTGATAGAAATTTGAAGATGAGATCGGAAGTAGAGTTTTCCATAAGTATATAATCAGAAACGCCGGGCCGTGGAAGGCGTCCCGCATTGATGTGAACATCTCGTGGCCCTATCAGGTGGAGAACGGACGGGAACACGGAAAATGGTTGGCAAACATTGTTGTTTTACTATATTTGTTGACATCTAATTGTTGTAATTACTATTATAGGCTCCTCTACTTAACTGGAGTGCCTCAAGTGACCGGACAGGGAGGCAAAGGTTACTGTTTGATGGGACCCAATCAGGTCAACCCACTTGACTTCGATGTACATCTAATTGTTGTAATTACTATTATAGGCTCCTCTACTTAACTGGAGTGCCTCAAGTGACCGGACAGGGAGGCAAAGGTTACTGTTTGATGGGACCCAATCAGGTCAACCCACTTGACTTCGATGTAAATATTTTTAAATTTTTAATATATTTTATTCAATTAATTAAAACTATTAATTGATTAGTGAATGAAATGTTGTGCTAATTTATTAATTAATAATCTAATAGATTAACTCTGAATACAATTCAGTGGTCGATAATGTGCCAGTAAGTGCTTAATCATAACATTCGTTATTTATTGCTTTATAATTTGATTTATGTTTAATTTAATAATTAGTTATATATTTAATTTACATTTTGTTTAAATTATATTTTTTAACCAAAATATTACAATCTTTGCGATACATTATATTGAATGAAGGCTAAATTACAGCGACTTTTGCATGTAAACAAATTAGACTCTTTAGTCATTTGAGGCATGTCTACACTAAATGTTACATTTAGTATAATTTAAGTTAAATCTGATTCAAATTATAGCTAATCATTAAAGCTCTTCAAAATATTAATTAAAAAGTTTTCCTTGGTTAAAGATTGTTAACAGGTAATACGCTGAATAAAATTTGCTTGCTAATATTTAAAATTGTCTAAAACAACCCAAAATGATTTTAATTGATTGAAATAGTGTCCATACAGTCAGTCATCTCCTCAAACTCAATAGAAATATTAAAATTATCATTTACTCGAGATTTAAATGATATTTAAAGTAAATTATAATGTATATAATCTTGAATAGTGCTTAAAAATTGTTCGTAAAGCTTAATAATTAATATTTTTATTATGTATTTTAAGATTTATAACTAAATATTTAAGTACAGTCAACCTTCTATGCTGTCAACTTCTCTATGTTATCAACAAAATCCCAAATACCCACCTAATAGACATAATGTTAAAATTATCTCTATGTTGTCAACTAATCCATGTTATCAACCAAATTCACTGGAACCGTTTTGTTGATAACATAGATGTTTGACTGTAAATATTTGGCCCCTTTTTAGTAAATATTATATAAAATATTTAGACTTATCGTGAATATTGTGAAGAGCTTTACTAATTATAATACGATATAGAAATAGAATAATTGAATTTTCTACTGTTAATATGCTATAATTAGTGAAGCCTATTATAATACTAAAGTAGAATTTACATTTAATGTTGAAATTAATGTTTAGGATATTTCTAGGTATTTGTTAGAATATTTGTAAGTGAAAAATGTAATAAAAGTGATTTTAAAAATGTGTTTCTTATATAATTTCTAAGAAAATGCCTGAAAGTCGGGGATCAAAGAGTCGTCGTAAGCGAGAGATGATAGTACTTCCCCGTGAAGTGAGAGCTTCCGACGGAAGTATACAGAATGTGGTGTCAATGAGTTGTGGTTCGGGCGCCCGTTGTTTCAATTTCACGTGTGTTGTACTCGATTTGGCCGCCAATCAAACAGCAGTAAGTTTTCCATACATGCAAACAATTATTTCTATTTGCTTTCCAAAGTGTGCTCTTTGTATGAGTGGGTGTAAGGGCTGGTGTCAGGGCTGGCCGTCAAGGAGTGTCTGTCTCTTCACTATTATATTACTTTAACTTTTTGTATAAAACTCTACCTATTTATGGAGTTCTTCATCCGTCCATTGACCTTCATATATTCAATTAGAGAGAG